TCAGAGGGTTAGACATGGGGTACACATATATATATGAAAGTAGAAATGGAATATTAGGGATGATAACATGCATGATTAAGCCACTATGCAGTTTATTCTAGATGGGAAACCACATTTAGTATGTTGTGATGATGCTCAGGAAATGAATGTAAATTAATAAAAAAATTTTTTCAGAAGAAAAAAAAAGACATTAAAAATACTTATTTGATGACTGCAGTAAGCTATATAGCCCTAGCTAGGTGCTACTTTATAGTATGTTCATTCTATTCACTGAGGTTTATGCCTAAAGTCAGACTTGTGTTCATGGATATGTATATATCAGCTGTGCTTGCTATTGAAAATATTTAGATTTATTAAGATATTTAGTGAAACAATAAAATGGGGGAGGCATAGAAAGCAACAATAGATACCAGACACAATGTGGGAGGAGGGTGGGAGATGGCAGAGGGTGAGATAGGGAACCAAGGATGGGAAAAAAGGCAAAATATACAGAAAACAAGAAATGGAAAATTATGTGTTGACAATAACACATTTGTTGATGTGCTTGATTGAGCCAATATACAGTGTATTCTGAATGGAAAAATCTCATTTTGTATGCTATAATAATGTACAGTGAATGAATGTAAATAAATTTAAAAAATGTAAAAAAAAATTAAATTAAATTTTAAAAAGATTAAAAAAAAACAGTAACAATATTCCAGTCACTGGTCACCCTTTGTGAAACAGTTGCTGTGGCTCAGTTTATACTTGCCCGTTGTAGTTGTTGCCATTTCTCTGCTCTAAAACAGGCCTGGCCATGGCATACAATATAAGCTCAGTTTCATACAATTCTTTCTACCTGCATGTATGTGTGCTTTGTGCAAGTGTGTTTAATATATGTTCGTACTGATTACTCGTCATCACTGTGTTTTTAGGTTATCTTTTGCTTTGTAATTTTCTGTGATATTATAGACTGGCCTACAAATTGATAGTTCTTGAATTAAACCATTCCTAGCATTATGTGGATATCAAAATTTTTTAAGAGAAATTTTTGCTATAGGATGTGTGCGCTTGCTGGAGAGAGAGAGAGATGGAGGGATGGCCACGCCACAATCCCTTTTCCTCCATTCTCTTGGAATTTTGGGCACACACACACATGCACCCAGTGTGAGGCTTAAGCCACTGGGCCTGGGACTCAAACCACAGTCTACTGTGTGGGAGTCCAGTGACCTAACCATTATGTCATCAGCTGGTCCCAATATTGAATGCTATAAAATTTTTTTCACAGGTGTTCCAAATGCTAGTGAGACCTTTTAATTAAATGTGAAAATACACATCTATAGTTACACATGTTCTTGTAGTCACCCAGTTCTGTTTTTTCCTCCTTCTCAAAATAATTTTTCAATGAACAGCTTGCTATTTGCAACTTCCTTTATTGTGGAATTTAAATGACTGCGTTTCTTCCCAGTTTTCTTGGTCACCCAGTTCTGTTTTTTCCTTCTTCTCAAAATAATTTTTCAATGAACAGCTTGCTATTTGCAACTTCCTTTATTTTGGAATTTAAATGACTGCGTTTCTTCCCAGTTTTCTTGCAGAACATAACAGCAGTAACAGTATTGTAGAAGATGTCAAATCTAAAAATAGACCTTGTCTATTCTGGAATTTTTTTTGTAATAAATCATTTGAAATACAATAAAATTTAGCTTTAAGTTCCCATCAATTCTACCAGAAACAATTGATTACCACAGTACTTAAGTAAAAAGAATTTTCAGTGACATTTTCACGTGAATTCACAGGAAACATCTACAGATTCTCTGTAGAATAGTAGCTGAATTACAACTCAGAACTTGTGCAGTTTGGCCCCTAGCGCTTTATCCCCTCAACAGTAGGGGCCACTTCCTACTCAGTGAGGGCCGCCGGCCCTTATCAGCACTGGCATGCCAGAATGGCCGGCAATGGGAACTGGAAAACCTGTCACCAGATGGGCGAGGTTCTAGAGCCAGCCTGTGGGCTAATGGGATGTCAAAGTTTACGGTTTATTTCCTGTAACCAGTCACAGGCATGGCACCTATTTTTTATTTACAGGGCTGCTTGCTGACGCTTCTGTACTTGACAAGGGGGGATGGACTGCAGAATCCAGCCCACAGTAACTGCCACAGAAAGGACAGGAGAGACCGCATTGTAGACTGACAAGGCAGCCGATGGACAACAACTAGTCACCTACCTACAAGCTAAGGTACTCTGCCCTTTTTCCCTCTGCTCCTTAACTATAATAGAAAGGAACGTGGATATGTAGAATGGTTATTTTATTTATTTTTTAAAAATAATTATTTTATTTAACTTTATTTCAATTTGAGCAGAGAGGGAGACAGAGCAAGAGGGGAAGAGAGAGAAAGCAAGAATAGAAAGAAACGTGGATATGTAGAATGGTTTTTATTTTATTTATTTTTAAAAAATAATTATTTTATTTAACTTTATTTCAATTTGAGCAGAGAGGGAGACAGAGCAAGAGGGGAAGAGAGAGAAAGCAAGCCACCAGGTCCAGAACTTGAACTGTGGTTAGCCATGTAGGACTCCAGTGCCCTTAACCACCATGCCATCTGCCGGCCCCAATATGTAGAATGTTTAAGATTTGGATTTCCTTGATGATTTTCTGCCTAGTTCTATTAGTTACTGAATGTAGGAAACTGAAATCTTTGACTCTCTTTGTGAATTGTTTATTCCTTTTGTGTGTTTCACTTTGTATATTTTGATGCTTTTAGGTGTGTGTATATATGTTTATTACCCCTCGATGGATTGAGCCTTTTATTATAAATTGCCTCCATCTCTCATAGATCCTGTGTCTTGTCTGTTGGTTTTTGTTTTTTGTTCTTTTTTGTTTTGCTTTCAGTTTCTCTGTAGGGCATATGAACTCACCAAGCGAGACAGAGAAAGAGAGAAAGAAAGTAGGCAATCATCTCTCCCAGAGGGAATGGCCGTGCTGGAGTCCTACTTCTCCATTCTCCTTTTAGAATTTTGGGCACACACACATGCGCCCACCTTGATTTCCAAGCAACAGGGTCCAGGACTCAAACTGAGGAGTTAGCCATGTGGGATCCAGCTGCCTTATTCTCCATGCTACCTGTTGACCTGGTCTGTTTTGTCCGATAGAATTTAGCTGGATGATACTTTAACCTTCCCAGCCTTCTTGTGGCAGCTGTTCACATCTCTTGGTCCACCCCTCAATCCAGTCTATTTGTGTCTTTCGATCCGTGGTTTGTTTCCTGTAGATGGCATGTAGTGTAATAGTGTGTGTGTGTTTGTGTTTGGGGAGTTCTTTTGCCATAGGGCACGTTTGCTCACTAGAGAGACAGAAATCACTGCTTCGGGGGTGTCCATGCTACAGTCCCTACTCCTTCATTCTCTTCCCAGGATCCTGGGCATTTATGCACATGTACCCGGAGTGAGTTTCCAGCCACCAGGTCTGAGACTCAAACCGTGCTTGGCCATGTGGGAATCCAGTGACGTAACCACTGAGTCATCTGCTGGTCCCTATGTTAAAATATCTTTAACTGTTTAGAAGGATATTGTTTATTTGCTTAAAGATCAACAAAATTACCGCTGAAAGTACTAAGTTTCTGAAGTACAATTAATAGTGAGTACGTGAGCCTCCTTTTATCCATGGTATTGTTTTTATAGTTTCAGTTACCCATAGTACTGTGGTGGGGGGCCTCCTGCTAGAACAAAGATAACATGGCATGCTTGGAATTTAAGTACGCATGTGTAGTTTGTAGTAACCTCGTAGCCCTGTCTCTATGGCAACTCCAGCTCCATGTACTCCTTGACTATATATCTAACAGCCCAGGAGCCCAGTGCATACCTGTGTAATCCTATAGCGGCCTTATCACACAAGTTACCCAATCAAAGTGTACATAACCAAAGAAACTAAAATGAATATAAGGAAGAGCCCCAAGAGATTCAAGGCTCAGCCTTTGGATGTGGATCTGCTGAGCTAGGCCAGCACTAATAAACTGCTGTTTTCCTGCTACAAGCTTCTGTGTCCTGTACATCATCACAGCATACAAAATGCTATTTCCCATCCAGAATACACTATTTTTTTGGGGGGGTGGGGGTGGAGGTTTTCGCTATAGGGCGCGTGTGCTCACCAGACGGAGAGAGACAGACAGAAAGCGAGAAATCACCCCCCAGGGGGGTTGGTCACGCCACAGTCCCTTCTCCTCCATTCTCCTCTCGGGATCTTGGACATGCACGCACACGCGCCCAGCGTGAGTTTTAAGCCACCGGGTCCGGGACACGAACCGCGGTCGACTACGTGGAAGTCCAGCGACATAGCCATTATGTTAACTGCTGGTTCCCAACTGTGTATTGTCTTAATCAAGGATATTACCTTACATGTTATTGTCAACAAATAATTTTCCATTTCTTGTTTCTTTTTTTTTTTTTTTCTTTTCCCCCCTTGATTCCCTACTTCTCATGCTCTGCCAGTTCTCACCCTCCTCCCACACTGTCTCTGGCATCTACAGTTGGTTTTTAGGAGCATTTTTGTTTTTAAAGTTTCTCGATTTTATTCATGGTAGCATCTGTATTTTGCAGGCATGTGGGGGAGACTGGCAACCTTGACAAGTTTTTGTTACTCCATGATCCCCTTCCTCCAGACCTCCAGCCCATCAGGACCTTGGGCACACGTGACCTGTATTCAGCTCAACCTAGGATCTGACCTCACAGTTAGCCATGTGGCTTCCAGCATTGTAGTTCATTAAACTGAACAGCCCTCAGAGCCCTGGAGTCTGATTTCTGATTTTTGGGTTGGTGTATTCAATCTGAATTGCATGTAAGTTGCCCGGAAAAAAGGCAAAATTCAAAGTAAAGTTTCTAATGAATGCATGCTTTTGTACATGGGAAAGTCACAGTCTTAAATGGAACCATCATAAAGTTGTATCCAGAAGTAGAAATTGATTTGTCACAATTCTAGAGGCTAGAAGTCCATTATCGAGGTGTTTGGTTTCTTCTCCCAAGGCCTGCCTCTCTGGGCTGCAGATAGCCACTTCACTATGCCCTCACATGGTCCTTCCTCTGCGCCAGCATCTCTGGTGTCTCTTATAAAAGACACCCATCAGATTAGGGTCCCATCCTCTGACCTCATTTAACATTAATTACATCCTTAAAGGCCCTGTCTCCAAATGTATTGGGGTAAGGGATTCTGCATATGGATTCGGAGGAAAACAGTTGAGTCTGTAACAGACTCCCACCTCTTTTAAGTTCACTTAATAATTAGTGGGTTTATTAGGCATCATAAACACCTTCAGAAGTCCCTCTTTCTCTTTCATATTACTATACTTGTACCTGATCAATCAGTTGTCTTAATAAGGAGCTTTCCTGGAAGATAGGCATGAAAAGAATAGACAGATCCTTTTTGGGGGGATTTAATTCAAAAAGCATGTCTTCTTCAGTCTGGGTTTTCTTCCTCAGCGAGCACCATGCCCTATTCTGTTTGCGACCATGTGATCTTGTCATACTGTAGCGTGAGGGAAACAACCCTACCAGGGGTGGTGAGAGTGGCAATGTAAATGTTAGAATCCGTTGTTCATTTTTTCCCCCTTAATTGAGACTTTATTTTTTAGAGACATTTCAGATTTAAAGAAAATTGAGCATGTATACCTCTGTCACCAGAGCTCTTAAGCTTCCCGTTATTTTTAGCATCTTGAGTTACATTGGTATATTTATATTTAATGAGCTGATATTGATGCGTTGTTATTAACCAAAGCCCATACCCTACACTAGGATTTACTCTGGGTTGTGCAAGCCTGTGGATTTTCTTTCCTTTCCCTTTTTTTAAAAATCTGATAAGAGGGTATGATTGCTCACCAGAAAGAAATAGAAGGTGAGAAACAACTCCCACAGTCCCTTCTCTCCCTCTCTCCTCTTGGGATTTTGAGCACACACACACACACACACACATGCCTGGAGTGTTTTTCAAGGCACCAGGTCCAGGACACAAACTTCACAGTCGGCTATGTTTGTTAAAGCTACCTTAACTGCCATTCCACCGTCCAGTCCATTTTATGGGTTTTGATAAATACATGGAATCAAATATCCACTATTACAAGAGGATTTGTTTGTTTAATTCATTATACTTTTTAATTTACATATAATTGTTGACAAAAGGGTTTTTTCTTTCATAATTTCTTACATTTAAATGTACATCATTGTGGGGTACAATATGGTTTTTCAAATCAGGTATGCAGGGCATGATAATCAAATCACAGATATTATCATGTAACAAGGATTTTTAAAAAGTAAATCTCTGTGAGCCTAGTCATGATGGTAGGCTGATGCAATATTATGCAATGCTGGAGGCCATGTAGACGATTGGAGTTCAGTTTCTGGGTTGGCTAGTACATAGTAGTTGCATACATATGTGCCCATGATCCTGGCGGGCTGGAAAGACTGAGGGAAGATTCTTGCATGAGACACTATTGAGGATGCTTGACTTGTCTCTCTCAATCTGTCTCTCATGAAAAAAACTTTTTAAAAAAATTGAAATGAAAAAGTTAAGAAAGTGGACCAGCAGATGGTGTAATGATTACATCACTGAACTCCCACATAGTCGACTGCGGTTCAAGTCCCAGACCTGGTAGCTTGAAACTCAGGCCAGGTATGTTGAGCACACTTGCCCAGAATCCTGAGAGGAGAGTAGAGGAGAAGGCATTGTTGTGTGGCCATCCCCCCAGAGAATGATTTCTCACTTTCTACCTGTCTCTGGCAAACCTGTGCACCCTGTGGCAAAAATCTATCTATCTATATATATTTTTTTTTAATTTTTTTAAATTGAATAACTGCTCAGGAGCTGGGTCCCACATGGTGACACACCATGCTTGCCTACAAGTGCTCAAGACTTGGCAGGTTTGAGACTGGAAAAGGAGATTGTGGTATGACCAGACCCCCTTGAGGGTGCCCCTTTCATACATGCACACACACTTGCTATTGTGAATAAAGAAAACTTAGAAGCACATTACTGGTTTCTTAATTATCTGGTAGTTTTCCTAATTCTTTTTATTTATTTATTTTTTAAAGTTCATTTATTTCCTTAGAGACAGAGGGAGACATGCACAGAAACAGGTATTCTTGATGGGTCTCACACCACAATCCTTCCCCAGCCCTACAGCCTGCCAGGGTCATGAGTGTGTCCATTGTGTATAGGCACCCTCAGGACAACCTGAAGCCTTCCTAAGTGGCCTACAGCATCTCATAGCAGCTCCTTCCCTCCTGTGCCTCCATGCTGGGCCTGATATTTCTATAATTTCTTGATTAATTAACCTGTGAATTAATCTGAACCATAGAAATTATTTGAAATTTGGGATTTGCTTATAATCCAGCTATATGGTCAATATTGGTAAAACTCCCATGTACATTTAGAAAGAACATGTATTATGCAGTTGTTGGATATCTTTCTACCTTCCCTTCCCTTCTCTTCCCTTCTCTTTTTTCCCCTCCCCACCCCACCCCAGAGGGACAGAACAAGAGAAAAAGTGAGAAAGCAAGCCACCAGGTCCGGAACTTGAACCGTGGTCAGTTTTGCAGGAATCCAGAGCCATTAACCACTATGCCACCTGGCAGCCCCCGCTATTATGTTTAAGTCAAGTTTGTTTGTTTTTATGGTTTTTATCATAGGGTATATGCACTTGCCAGAGAGAGGGAGAGAGGGAGGGACAGTCAGTGAGAGGGTAAATGAGAAAGCACCTCTCAGGGGTAATGGCCATATCACAATCCCTTCTCCATTCTCCTCTCAGGATTTTGGGTATGACACACATGTACCTGGTGTGATTTTCAAGCCACCAGGTCCGTGACTTGAAACATGGTGGGCTATGTGAGAGTCCCAATGCCTAACCAGTACGCTACCTGCTGGCCCCTCCCTAAGTTTAATTCTGCTAGTTTGACCTGTTTTCCCCCTTATGGTTTTACTAAAAAGATTTTTGTTTGTTTGTTTAAAAATTAATTATTTATTTTAATTTGACGAAAGAAGGAAAATGAGAAAGCAAGCTGGCAGGTCTAGGACTCATACCACAGTTGGCCATGTGGGAGTCCAGCATCTTTAACCACCACACCACCTGTGGGCAAAAGGGCTTTTTAAGCCACCTACTATATGGTTATGAGTTTCTTCATTTTTATATCTATCACTGTACTGTTGGTGAGATTGTACATTATTTCAAATCTTTGTGGATGACAGTTTATCTCTGTTTAGCAAAATAATCACCTCCCAGGGGGTAATGGCCACACCACAATTCCTGTGACACATTGATTTCACTACTAGGAATTTCTAGAAATACTTGGCACAAATATGAATGTTTATAATAAGGATTTCTAATATAGAATAATTTATAAGAGCAAGATGTAAGTAAACCAAGCGTCAGTCAGTATGGGACTGTTGAACACAGGCAAGAGAAAACTTTCTCTATACTTACACAGTACTTCCAACACCTGCCATGAGGATTTCTCAACTCTTTCACAATTCTC